CTACTGTGTTTCTCTTATCTTGTTCCAGTAATGTTTTTCTTTTACTCATAAGATTTTTTGTTTCCTGGGATACATAGTTTTCCTTTTTTATTCTTGTTTGTGCTACCTCTTTTCCCGCCTTTGCTAATGTATCGGTTAATATCTGATTTATTTCATCGATATTTTTGTTTTCCAAATCTCTAGTGACCGGTATACCTTCCTTTATTTTTTGTTTATATTCGTCTTTTGATTGCTTAAGTTTTTCCATATCTAGTTTCGATACATTTTCTATTTTCTTTTTTGTTTCGAATTGGCTATTAATCCTGAGTTTGGCTCTGATAAGTCTATGATCGCTACCGGTTGAGAAGCGGTTCAGTACTGTAACATCTTTGATGATGGTTTTTTCTGTTGTAAGGATGTAATCTATTTCGTTTTTTGTATTACCGTTGGGACTTATCCATGTCCATTTTCTTTGTGGTTTTTTGTTAAAAAACGAGTTCATAGCAAAAAGTTGTCTCTCCTCCAAGTAGTTCATTAATGTGTGTCCTCTATTATTTCTTTCGCCATATCCATACTTTCCAATTCTATGTTCTTCTCCATCTATTCTTCCCCCTAATTTGGCATTGAAGTCTCCAATTATTAGCGTCAATTTAGTTTTCTTTTCTTCCATAGCGAGTGTTAGTTCTTCGTAGAAGTTTTCAATATCTTCATCTGTATATGAACTTGTTGGCGCGTATACCTGTATAATTTTCAAAGACGTTCTTTTTAATTTAAGCATAATGTAGGCTACTCTGTCTGATATACCCTTGGTGGATTGTATGTATCTGACGACTTTCTTGTTTATTATAAAACCAACTCCGTTGTTAGAGTTATCTTCATTGCCTTTATAGTACAGCATGTTTTTTGAGTTTAATAGTATTTTTTGTTCACCTTTTCTTCTTATCTCTGACAGACCAATGACATCCCATTGTATATTATTTAGTTCTTCTTCTAATTCGTGAAGTTTAGTATCATCATTCATGGATCTGATGTTATATGTTCCTACGTTTAGTTTAGTCGAATGTTTGCCTCCCCCAGAATCCTTGAGGCAGACCGGTTTGTCGGTGTGGGACTTCGAGATGTTATCTCTACCCACCTGGGGTAATTTTCCGTTTGTTTTGTGATTCGACATGTTTGTTGAAGAGGGTTTTTTGACATTTAAACGCCACGCTTGTCAGGCGGGTTGGCGAGTGAGGAAACTTAGGAGTGTGTGAATGGGGAAAGGCGCAAGTTACGCAGTTTGTGTGTAGGGTGCGCGGCATGTATATGCCACACACACCCCCCGCGTAAAATGGGCCTCTTCCACTCAAACACGGTTAAGAGGACTCATCCAACACTCGGGGTGTGGGTGAGATAGGTTCTAGGTAAATAGATGGGTAAAGAACGAGATGGATTGTTGGGTAGGGACAGCGGTCAGCTGCTCCTGCAGTCGCCTCTTACGACCAGTAGGAGATCCTGTGGGTGTATTCTTCTTAGTGGCCCGCATCCCACACGGGGATTACATGATAGTTAAACAAAATTCACAAATACTCATTAGAGATATTAGAGCTATGAGAGGAGCAGTATGCGGATCAGATCACCACATGGTCAGGGCAAAAATTGTTTTCCCATATAGATTAAAGGACAGTGTCTCATCAAGCCAAGACGAACAACTTTTAGAAAGAATTGATCTTCCTCAATACAATCTGTCCAGTTTAATTTGACACCAAACTTGACGAAACACTAACAAATACCAAATGCATATATGAGAACATAATATCAAGTATTCATCAAACAGCACAGGAGGTCTTAGGAATCAAACAAAATAAAATTAGTAACAAGCTTTGGTGGAATGAAGACGTCGAAAATGCGGTAACAGAAAAGAAAAGATTATACCATAAGTGGTTGAATACAAAAGATGACGCAGACAAAGACCGATACAATGAAATGAAGAAGAAAGCTAGAAAGATAATTATGACCTCCAAAAATGAGACATGGGACAGAAGGTGCAGAGAGATAGAATCTTATATTGGAGGACGACAATGCACTGAGGCGTGGAAGTTTATAAACTCTGTTAAGAAGCCGACTAACGAGAAAGTGATTCTAAATCCCATAAATCCCGAGGATTGGACACATTATTACAAACATCTATTAAATGAGAACAGAGACGAATTTAAAGAAGATATGAATTCATCAAGAATCGAAATTCTGGGAGAGCATATTACCATAGATATCAACACAGTTCAAAAAGCTATAGCAGGGATGAAGAATGGGAGAGCAAGTGGACCAGAGGGAGTAACTACGGAATTAATAAAGAATGGCTCAGAGAAATTACACAGAATGATCACGGTGATATTTAACGAATATATTAATGGACATCCAACACCAGATGAATGGAAAATAGCATATATGACCCCAATATATAAAAAAGGTGACAGGAGAAATTGTAAAAACTATAGAGGGATATCGGTCACAAGTTCAATGAGTCGACTATACGGTCGAATACTACGGGACCTGATAGAGGAAGATTCTCAATCGTCTGAAGACGAAGAACAAGGAGGATTTAGAGCAGGTCGTTCATGTACAGATAACATCTTCTGTCTTAAACAAATTATAGAAAAGAAAGTTGTGACAAATAGAGAGTTACATATGACTTTTGTAGATCTTGAGAAGGCATATGACACAGTCCCGCTAAATCAACTATGGGAAGTCCTGGGCACATCAAATATACATCAAACATTGGTTAGTGCTCTCAAAGATCTATATTATGATTCAAACTCCCAAATGAAATTCGGAAATCTCTTAGCTGAAAAATTTGCAGTTACTAAGGGTCTCAGACAAGGATGTTGTATATCTCCGACTCTGTTTAAGATTTATATCTCTGCAGCTCTGAAACAATGGAAAAGGAAAGTCAAAGGAATGGGTATACAATTGAACGATCAGGATTACATATATACTTTACAGTTTGCAGATGATCAGGTGGTGATCTCAAATGACAAAGACGACATGGAATACATGCTTAGAAAACTAATTGAAGAATACCAGAAATGGGGATTAAATATCAATTTAGAAAAGACAAAATACCTCTCAATTGGAGCTGAAGCAGAACAACTCGATATCGATGACAATCAAAAAGTAAATCCATGTGACGAATATAAATACCTGGGCGTCATCTTCGACCGTAGTGGAAAAGACGAACGAAAAATAGAACATCGAATTGTACAAGCACGAAGAGCTATAGCATGTTTGAACGGAGTTCTATGGAGTAAAGAAATATCAAAGAAAAGAAAATGGAACATCTATGAGACAATGGTTAAAACTAGCCTACTTTATGGAGCTGAGACATGGAGAATAACCGAGAAATATAAGAAAAAGGTCGAAGCTACGGAAATGGATGCCATCAAAAGATCGATGAGAATATCAAGAGCCGACAGAATACGGAATGAAGTGATAAAACAACAAATGGGTATAGAGGGCACTATAGTTGAGGATATTGAGATAAAACAGCTCATATGGTATGGACATGTGAGCCGAATGGGGGACGAAAGATTGCCTAAAAAAACGATGATGTGGCAACCCCCCAGAGAAGAGGAAACGAGAAAGACCACCACAGAGCTGGAACCTGGGAGTTAGGAAAGCGATTAGCGCTCGAAATCTGGACGAAGACCTAACTCAAGACCGAATACAGTGGCGGTTGGGAGTCGGACAACGTCGTAAGACGTTATAAAACCGAATGTATATATATATATATATATATATATATATATATATATATCTTGTCAAGGATCTTTTTGTAATCTATGAAATACAAATATTCATCTTTTTGTTGATCGCGACATTTTTGCATGAGCACAATAAAACTAAACAAACAAATAAGTTACATTATACTTATTAGTCGAAATTCGTTTTTTTTGGCGTTATTGGAATTAGATTTTGGTCAATCTTGTGGAATTTCGCAAGTTTAGTATATAGTGTAGAAAATTTGTTGCTAGGAGATCTAAATTGTCTTCTTTCAAGAGCTTTGCATTTTCATTGTGAATATTATATGGACCAGGTAATTTTTCGTTATTCATGTTTTTTAATACGTACTTTATATCAGATCTTAGAAGGGTAAATTATTTTCAAAGTTTATATCTCTTTTGATAACTTGTTCATTATTGTCTAAGAATAGATTTTCTGTATATGTATTTTATTCGTCGTTTAGTCCTTCCAATGATGTCAGAAGCCTATATTTCATGATTGTTAGTATGTCATACTGTCTATTATTTATATTTCTACTTATTTCCTTTTTTTCTATTGGAAAAGTTTGTCATCGTATTTTTTCTGTATATTTTCTATCTATTCATATGTTTCTGTAAGCCACTTCTCATTTTCCTCCACTATCTTTCTTCTTATTTTTTTGTCGATTTCTTTATACTAACTGTTATTACTGTTTTTGTATTTTCTTACATTATTCATTTCTATTATTTTAACAGTTATCATTGGCTTTTTTATTATTTCTTTTAGTAACTGCCTCGTACCACCATAGCGTATGACTTAGACCAAAAACAAGGAGATGATTAAACGTGTGTCCATTAATTCAGGTGTTATATTGTAACGTTCTGGCCGAGAACTTGATGAGATTAGAGACTGTTGTGTTACCGATTAGACTATAATTTTAGATATAGCTTCTCTGCAATGATGAAATACTCGAAACTGGTCAAATGACTCGTGTAAGCTAACTGTTATTTATATATACAAAATAGTATCAGCATCAAATTGTAGCAACTATCGTAAAGTAGAACTAAGCTTTTCTTCACCATCATCACTGATATACTAAAATAATAGTCTTGTTACAGCTCCCAAAAAACAATGAAAATTTGTGTCATAAAGAGGCACAAGAGAAGAAATTTTTAATCTTTTTAAAATTATAGAAAAATTAACGCTCTTAACATTTCGCTTCCGAGGCGTTTACGATACCTAATAAAAATTAATGTCTAAAATAAAAAATCTTTAAAACTTACTTCGCCTTCCAGTAAGATGACCGCACAACATCATATTATCCAAGGCTAATGACTCCGAACCACAAAATAGATCAAAGTTTTCAAAGTAGAGATTCACTTTACATACATCCTAAAAGAATATTTATATAATTAACATATTTATTTATATAAAGTGAAATTAGTCCTAATCAATTATTTTTTAGACAACAAACTTTTTTTAATTCATATCATAAATTGAAAAAAATAAACTAAACTTAACTAAATCACAGCGGCCGCTCGTGTCCTAAAAAAGTGGTGAAGACGAGGAAACCTTTCTGGAGCCAAAAGGAGTTTTGGTACCTACGGCTCGCCCAAATCTAATTAAAAATTCGTAAAAAAATGTAGAGTTTAGGGCTCTAATAACTTGAAAACAGTTTTTTGGGTCACTTATACTAGATAGGATTTGTTCTGCTTGCCGGGAGTACTTTAATTCTAACCTTCGACATTTCATTGAGGGTATTTTGGCGATTAAAACACCACGTCTGGCAAAACGGGTTTGTTGAGTTTCGATTTAGCCGCCCACTCTGGCTCAGATGCTGATTGTAGCCGATCACTCTGGATCAGACACTGCAGTGTTTACTGATTTTGGTCCGCCTAGAGTATTTCATTTCCCCGGTACCACCTATATCTAGAAGGCATTCCCCTATCCGCCACCTGGGAAGGCGCCCGATGGAGGTCCAACAACCTCTCATAGAATGACAGAGAGAGAGAGAGAAAGAGAGAGCGAAGACTAAAGTGACAGATGTCATAGAAAAATTGCATAAATTTAGTTTATATAATCTAGCGTCTTTTTTTAATGCATCGGCAATCGTAATTTGATTTTGTTCGAAATTTCTAAACATTAATTATTTTTTTAAATGCTCTCCAGAATCTGCGTGCTTATGCGACGATCTATTAATATTCAAAAAATCAACAAAACCGTCTCTATTCCACACAGACTGTTTATTTGAAAAGAGGAGGACACAATCAATTGAATTCTGTATAATAAGAAGACTTAAAATTAATGTTATACGACTTATCTATTTTTTTAACTTCCTTTTTTAGTCTTAAGTTTAAAATAATGGTTGGTCGACCATGTAAAAGAACATCCCTTTTATCTTCATTTTTCCAATGCCTAAACGGAGTCTCTAATACATTACACATATTGCCTGTACAACTTATGGAGCAAAGACTTTAACATTCACGCAAAAATCTGCGAATAAACTCAGAGTTACACAACGAGCCATGGAACGTGCAATGCTGAACGTGAGCCTTCGAGACCACATAACAAACCAATAAATCAGGCAAAGATCAAAAGTTCAAGACGTCATGGAAAGAACCACGACGCTTAAGTGAAACTGGGCAGGGCACTTAGTCAGAACACAAGATGGACGGTGGACAAGACCCATATGATATAAAACGTGTCGCGGGAAACTGGCTACAAGTGGTCTAGTGTAGAGAACACTGAAAAGAACTGAGGGAGGCCTATGTCCAGCAGTGGACGCGATTGGCTGATTAATGATAATGAAATCATTAATTGCAAAATTTCAAAATATTGTCGCTGAGAGAAATTTCCGAAAAATAGGAATACTCCATAAACATTAACTAGTGGGTGAAGACGGATAATTTATTTATCAATTGATCTGCACTTTTCAGTTTCCTCAGCTATCACTAACGACAGGCTGACGTCACGTTGTCATGGCAACCGTGAACGTTTGTGCAGATGGATTCCGCATTTCAAAAATGATATTCACCTATTCCTGAATCGTACACGGCTAGTGACACAGGTCAGGACTTGACCTTCAAGTACCTACCGCTAATAAAGCTAGTTATCTTTTTTGATTTTTAGATTAATTAAAAGAGAATAAATAATTAATTTCAGAATTTAGATATAATAATGTTGCTTTTATTTTTTATTTATTTGTCTCAATTTAATTATATTTTTTTGGTAAATCTCACCTTCACCTACTTCACCTGGCCGGCCGCCGCTGCTAAATCATTATACAATTAAAACTCCTACAGCACCTAGTCAGGTAATCTTAATAGCAATTGCGTGCATTTTAATCCAAACTTTGCTTGGTATTTCCAAACTTAAGCAAAATCTTTGTTGGTAATTTTCCGTTTGGAAAAAACAATAGCTCCGTTTAGCTCTTTTGTAAAACAATAAATTTGCAGCTATTTTTCTTTTGTCTATCTGTTTGTGCTTTACTAATTATAATACTTGTTTGGGTTCCTTTACTTTACCTAGCATTTCTGCTAGACCTACAGGTACGCTCAAAATGTATTTTAATTCAGTCCTTTAGCTTTAAAAATCTTTACAATTTTACGTATATAAGATCCCTTTATCCTTACAATATCTAGTTACCTATTTTTTATCTCTCTCTGATGAGGGCAGCAGCGATTATCAGTTTCAGCTCAAGCACTCAGTCTGTGGAATCCCTTAAAATGGGGACAGCGTCCGAAGAATCCCCCCGTCAACTACTATTGAGATGCAAGGATAAGGACAGAGAATCCAAATATATGACAGGATAGTATGCATTCCCACTTGGAGCGTACGCAGCTTATTCATGTCCGGGAAATTGGCAAACACTGATGATAACAATAAAAATATACAACTTGGGGATAAGTAAAGTAAGATGGCCTGGTTAAAGAAAACAAAAAACAAAGGATGAATACATCTAATAATCAGAAAGAAACCACCCAGAACATCAATATGGAATGTCCATAGCCAAAGACTTTATTCCTCTAAATTATAGAGTAGCAATGCTGTAACTACGAACAATCCATAGAAATCTGAAAATTATTCAGGTCTATGCTCCAACTAACAAGTTAGACGAAAAATTTTAAAAATTGTATAATAAATATATGAAATATATGAAATAATGCGACTAAAATAGAAGGCGAGATAACGATGATTATGGGTGACTTTACCGCCAAAATTGGTTGTGGTGCTAAAGAAGACAACATAAAAGCATACGGTCTGGCTACCAAGAACAATAAGGCAGATAGACTTGTAAAATTCTATGTAGAGGACAATCTGTTAATAGCAGAGAAGATTTGTTAGGAATCAAATTGACTTTAATTTGCCCTAAGTCAACTTGGAGTACAAAAAATCTATGAAAACATATCTTGGAGCTGACATTCATAACAATAACAATCAGGGTTGCGTCTTATAAATGCTATTATTGAATCTGTATCCGAAATCTATATTTAGAGAAGCATTACAGGAGGCCCAAGGTGGCATTAAGATTATTGGAATTACCATAGCCAATATCAGGTACGCTTATGATATTGTCCTTATAGCAAGCAATATACAATAACTGTAAAGTTCACTTCTAAAGATCTCTTGGACAGAGCACGTGACCAACAACGAGGTGCTAAGAAGAATGGGTACTGTGAGAGAACTCCTAAATATTGTAAAAAACAGAAAAACCAGTTATCTAGGACATATATACAGAGGAGCAAAAAACACATTCCTACGACTTATAATGGAAGGGAAAGTGGAAGGAAGAAGAGGTCCAGGAAGAAGAAAATGCTCCTGGTTGAAGAATGTAAAAGACTGGACAGGTATGGACACACATTCGATACTAAGAACAGCTCAAGATAAAGAGCAATTTGCTGTAGTTATAGCCAACCTTCAGTAATGAATAAGGTACCTTAAGAAGAAAGTTAGAATAACTACAAAATATAATAAATTAGAAACGTTATAGAAAATCGTTATAGAAACCAATAAACCGATATTTGTACATTTGCATACCAAGGGACAAATAATAGGAAAAGTAACTTCCATAAAATATATGAGAGCAAATATCCACAGCTAGTGTAACATAAAAAAAGAACATGAACATAAAAACTTTTTACAAGATCAGACCTTACGCTGGAGATCAGAATCCAAAACATCAGATGTTTTTTTGTCTTGCTGTATGGCTGTAAAAGTTGGACAATTGACTCTAAAACAATAGAAAAAAGAATAGATGTCTTTGTATATATGCAGGGTGCTAAGAATTCAATGGGTACAAAAAGTATCCAATGATAAGGTACTTCGGAGCATGAGCAAACAACAATAATTACTAAGACTATTTAAAGGAATAGTTTTAGTAATAGGCACAGGTACAAGTATTAATGCCAACGACTCTAAACAACCCTCTGAAATATTCTAACAATATTTTAGGCAGAATTGCCTTATAGTAGGTATATTAAAACATGCAGAAAATAAGCATACTTAGCATTAATAAACATTTTTAGTTTCAAAAGTGCCTGAACAAGAGGCTTATATTTGAGCTAAATAGTTTTTTTTATTGGCTTTGGCTTGAAACCTTTAGCCACGTAATTACATATAAATATTAGTATTCATTTATACAGGATTGTACAAGGAGGACACTTTTCACGCTCAGGGATTCATAAGAACGGCTTTATTGTAACAAACAAGACATAAACCACGGTTAGGTAGGTGTGCAACATATAATGGTAAACATACAAAGGAAATGTTTAAGCATATGATCAATTTTACACTTATACCTTTAATTTTTACAAGAAATATCATAATTATTTTAAAAATTTTTATATTGTCTTCACTTAATAGGAGATTTACGTTTAATGGTGTACTTAATCCCTCTTTTATCAATTCTTTTATCAGCCACGTGCTTGTGTTACGATGTGAAGGGCAGTTAAAGAATATGTGATTTAAATCAGCTATACTATTTTCACACTCACATCGGTCTGTTGGGAGAACTACTATTTTGTGTAGATGTTTCGGAAAACATCCATGATCTACTTTTAATCTTAAGACAGTTGACACTGTGTTTCTGCTTAGTGTAACATCTTTGTAAAATTGCTCTACCTCTACTGTGGATTGTAATTTGTATAAATTAGTGCCCCTGCTTTCCCCAAACTGAATCCATTGTCTGTCCCATTTAAATTTAATATGTTGTTTGATATAGGCAAGTAGGTCACATGTGTTAAGTTCTTCTATCACCATATGTGGGTGCTGTAATAGATTTTTAGCTATAGAATCAGCAATAGTATTACCAACAATATCTGAGTGTCCCTTAACCCATAGAAATTTAGTACCATATGGATCTGATAGTTTTAGTAACTGTTGAACAATTTCTA